GGGCTCGAGAAGGACCTGTCGCGATTGGTGTTTGTACGGCCACAGGCGCGGCCTCAGGCGCAGCGCCAGGCGCAGCCATAGGCGCGCCGCAGGCGCGGCGCAGGCGCGGTTGCTGGCGCGCTCACAGGCGTAGGCGCGGGTGAGATAACGGCTCGGGGGTTTTTGTCGGATCGTTATGAACCCTCCAGAAATGTTGGAGAGGGTCCAGCGGAGGGTTTGGCGACTCGTTCCAAAAAGGGAACGGGGCAATCTTGAGCGACTCATGGAGACCGGAAGGGAATTCGAAGTTCCTAGGAAATAGCACATCCTCCTAGAAAAACAAAGTCGGTCCGTGGTTAGCAATCATGATTGCGATAGAATAAGCCAACACCCACGAAAGCAGGATCCGGAGGTGGGATGGCTTCAAGCCAAGACGCGTCCCGGAGCTCCGGTGGGAGGCAAGAAACTAGAACACGGGTAGAGTTGAAGAACCCGTATGTAAAAGCGGGGCCGAGATGGCCGTCCGCGAATTCAACACCAATCGAAGCCTAAGAAAAAGAGGCAATGATTAGCGGGATCCAATAAGGGATGGTACGGACTTACGATGAAGTCCTCCGCGTTGTGGAGGATGGAGACTAGGTTCGGAACGTCTGGAGCAGTAGAAGTAGGCAAACGCGATAGGGCGTTCATGAGGTCGACCAGAGGGCCGGACCGAATACGCTTTAGGCAGCTATGCTCGGAAGGCGAAAGTGGCGCGGGCAGTTGCGGGTGAAGGGCAGAGAATTCCTGTATACCGGGAAAATGAAAGTCGAAAGGGACTTGGCGGAGCTGAAAAAGAAATCTAAGGACTCGCGGGTCAAAAGAAACATGCCATTAAAATACGCACGTTCAACCAATGCTCCATATCACGTCCCAGGCAAAGTAGATGCCAGTCCGGATGCTGAAGGGAGGGACGACTTTGGCGGACTCGACGAATGATTTCGAGGAGTCCGCCAATAAGCGCGTTCTGAACCGGGGTATGCGGAAGGTCGGGATAGGCGCGGGAGACAACTTGCTGTTGGAATTAAAATTCAACATTAGTCACGGGAGACTAAATAAAAGCAAAAGTAGGCTCACGAAAACTGGGATAGCTCGGTTTAAGAGGTCAACTAGATACTCGGCTTTGACGCGCGGAATGCGCCGCGGTAAACGAACGAAAGGCAGGAGGCGGATTATGGCAGGGTGCTGGAAGAAGTAAAGAGACTTCTTGTCGTCTTCAGAAAGCTCGCGATAGTTCCTAGGAGCATCCTCCGGTGCCAGAGGAAAGAGAGGGCGGAGTTGGTGCCCTTCCACGTCGTTCGAAGAGAGGCGGTAAGGAGGAAAGTTCAGATTGAATTCTCTGGGGGACGCGAAGAAGCAGTCTGCTCCAGTATGTTCAAAATCCTGCTTGAGAAAGGTATTGGGCAGAGGAGAGGGCGACGATGTCGAAAGCGACATGGTGGCGGAAATAAAGAGACTTGGTAAAATTTCTCGTACACGTGTGGCGTGATCAACACGGCCAGGTGACAGAGAAATTTTATTATTAGAGTCACGAAGATGGGCGCGACTTAGTGCAGAAATCGGTGGTTTAACGCGTAAAATAAAATAGGTTTGACAAAATAATCATTAATCATGATTAATAGTCGATAAATCCTATTTTATTGTAAATACCTGCAGTCTTGGCATGTACAAGCGTGTAAATATCTAAAAAAAAAAAAAACCAATGAGGTGGTTTCTTCGTCCCAAGATGGGTTCTTACTTGCGGTAGAAGGATCCTCACGATTGACATCAACCGTGAGCGATCTGTACCAATTAGGACCGAAGGGTTTATCTTGGTGACACCATGTGACTGATCACGTGATCATGTCAAGCGTGTTTAGAAAAATTATCCTTGAGTGGGGACACTCAATATTTATGAAACGGGGAGATGATACGCCGGGTATTGGGCCACCCAAGCATTTTTCAATTATTAATGCTGGCACAATATTACAAGCATATAATAAATGCTTAAGGCTATGTCTTAGCAAGGGTCAATACCAACCCGGGTAGTTGGCTAAAAGGGATCAAACGCACGCGGGCTACTATGATAGGCAGTACGAGGTGTCTGGTAAAGACACCGAGTCAATAATCGACCTACTAGGAGCTATCATGATAGGTACTCAACCATCCTGGAAACGGATTGGGGTATCCTTGCGTCCCTGACTAAGGGTGAATTGTCAGCACTATCCATCTAAACGTGTTGTGAAGCGAGATAAGCGCTGGAGTCATATAGTGATCGATCAGGATAATACCTGGGAGCGGGACGGAACCTAACACGATAGCCGAACTGATGCTGCGGATGATCAGTAGCGTGTCAAGACCATGACCAGAGGATCCGCGACGCCAAGAGGCGCGATAAGGATCATGACTCGAGGTAGAGTCATCATGACTTTGTATGAGGAAGTCTAAAAATAAGATTTGACATCTAATGTCAAAATTCGTAATCATCATTATCATATGCAGAGAGGGCATATTCAGCGCAGCAGAATCCGTGGTTTTCTATTCAGTTTAATCGATTAGAGAACGTAGGGGAGCTTACGCTACCATTATTCAGCTATCATGATTGTAAACGTGTCACTTATTTATAGTTTCAGAATTAGTATAAAAAGCCTGTAAATTCTCTAGGTACGCCAGTGTATATCCACCGGTCCAGTTGTACGCGTTAAGCTGAACATAACCAGCTTCGTGTGTAACTGTACTAAGTTTGGAGCACTCGGAGAATCACCTAGAGACCTATAAAGTTTCATTTGTATTCTTCTTGCAGAATTATCATTGTTTTGTTGTGATCTTATTGGTTTTACGCGTGGTTATAAGGAAACGGATAACGGACGCGTGGAAACGGATTTGTGAATCTCAGAACACAGAACGGCTTTTAGTGCTTTCATTGGCCTAAGACCTATCATGATAGCTATTTTGCTTGAAGGATATCAGTTATAACTTGAATCGGACTCAACGGAGACTACTCCAAAACCATCCAACAACCCACTAGTTATAAAAACCCAACTTCCTGCCTTTCTGGAACACTGTAAAGTGTCTAGTAAAGTCTTGATAGTTCATTGCATTTGTCTACGCATTAAAGATCAGAACTAAAGATCAAATTGCCATAGTCTATACTGGACTAGAACCCCGAACCTCGCACGTCGATTGTTGAGTGTTGTGTGTGCTGTGTGTTAATTACTTCTCAAGCGTACTTGCTTGACCTGTTAATTGGCATATTTCACCTATAGACCCATAGTCAGCGTTTCAGCGCCATTCTAGCCATAGGAGCAATCAAGAATATGGAAATCCAACAGCTCGATATCAAAGGAGCTTACCTCAACGGAGAGCTCAAAGAAGAGATTTACATGCGTCAACCAGAAGGTTACGACGACGGAAGTGGACGCGTTTGTCGCCTCTACAAGACCCTCTACGGACTAAAACAGTCCGGCCGCGAGTGGAACCGCAAATTAAATGCGACCCTTGCCGAATTCGGGTTTCAGCATACCGAAGCTGATCATTGTGTTTATACACGCACCATCGAGGGTAAAACCTCATATATTACAGTCTGGGTCGACGATTTACTCCTGCTAACGGAAAGCACTGCAGAAATGGATCAATTGAAGCGATCTTTAGCTCATAAATTCACCGTCACCGACCTTGGTGAGCCGAAACTTCTCATCGGACTCGAAATCAATCGTGACCGTGATAATCATGCTATCTCCATTTCACAAGCCAGTTATATCGACAGAATGCTCCACCAGTATGGCATGGAGAACTCGAACCCCGTCTCGACGCCAATGGACCCAAATGTCACATTGTGCAAGCGCGAAGATACAGCCGACGTAAAGTCAGATGACAGATTGAATTTTAGCTTTGCTGCCGTTGTCGGATCACTTCTCTATATTGCTGTAGTCTCCAGACCAGATATTGTGTTTGCAGTCACCAGAGTTAGCCAGTACACGAGCAATCCTGGTCCCGCACATTGGAGTGCAATCAAGAGAATCCTACGGTATCTAAATGGACACCGCCATCTGGCGATCACTTACGGCCCTATCAACGACGATCTTGATCCGTTCGAATTCTTCGCCTACACCGACGCCGACTACGCCTCGAATCCCGACGACCGTAAATCAGTCTCTGGATATATTTTCCTTCTGGCAGGAGGTGCAATTTCCTGGAATTCCAAGAAGCAAACCACAGTTGCACTCTCCAGCACTGAAGCCGAGTACGCCGCCTTAGCGCACGGAACACGCCAAACTATTTGGCTACGCAACCTCTTCGCCGAATTAGGGCTGGAACAACCACCATCCAGCCAAATATTCTGTGACAATCAATCTGCGATTGCAATCTCTCAAGACCCACAATTTCACGCACGGTCAAAACACTTTGATGTTCAAAATTATTTTGTTCGAGAGAAAGTCGAATCAGGTATCATTGAAGTCACTTACTGCCCCACTAACGAGATGGTTGCAGACCTCCTTACCAAAGGACTCCCTAGGCCTAAGCATCAGAAATTCTCTGCTGAAGCTGGGATGAATCCGACTTGAGGGGGAGTGTTGAATCACAGCCCGGAAGCGGTGTGCCTCGGGCATCGGGCAACTCGGACATCCCCGTATGTTCTCACTTATTCTACTATGTTCTTCTCATAGCCTCGTAGTGACTCATAGTGAGTCAGTATCTAGTATATATACAGCTCTCAACATCCATGTAATTTATCAAAGAAATATTATCTATTGTTCCCTACAAATTTTGTGTGAACCTTCGAAGAGCCTCTGCCGGTTCTTTATCAACAACCTCCACTCGTAAATTCTCAACACTTACTCACTTTTATCTGGGTTGATACTGCGTTCAGGTATGTCGCGGTGACTTTCTTCGTCGCCCGCTCTGATGTTGTGGACCCTCCGGGTTCGCATTCAACCTCCGGACTATGGGTCACTTCAATTCGATTCTGCTGTATGTATTCCAGGACAATACGGGCAAGAAAGGGCAGAGAAGCGCAGGGTGCGCGTCGGGTCTTACTGTCTATCTTGGTGAGGTTATAATTTATCTCGATGTCCCCCGTTCGATTCGGGGCTCTGCCGTAGGCCGTAATCGTACCTTTTTGGATGTCCTCACAAGATATGTTGGGCTTTCGTGTAATTTATAGAATGGAAAAGAACGCATGCGTCGGGGTTCTCACATCCTCGATCTGAATAAGTATCTCCCCGAGTCCATTCAACTTCTCGCAACGGTAAGCTGGAGTCTGGCTGGGCAAAAATTGGCACGTCTCTCCAGTATGGCTGTAATACTGTTCCATAATTATTTTACACACACGTTTCCGGTTATTTACACCACTTGAGACATTTTAATCAAAACAATCACCGCTCGGCACTTCTGAGCCAAAAATCACACCACACCGCTGTCAAGAGAAAAACACACAGGTTATCTCACAAAGAAAACACACACCACGCTGATCTTGAAAAAAAATCACTGCTTCCAGGCTGAAAAAAAATGCACCACCTCTTTCCTTCTTTCATTTCTGCACCGCCTAAATCTTCTTACAAAAAATCGCACAGGTTACATGTGCACCTAAAAACACACCACCTCTCAAGTTGACCCCGAAGTCCTGTACCCGCGGTGGTAGCCTTCTGCATCAGGTCTGGACAGTGTTTATGGAGATACCCGAAGACCACAAGCAGTCTTCGGTGTCGCGGCTTCAAATAGTTCAATGTAGATTCCGGTGTTTTGAGTTGAGCGACCTTGAGTCGGTCATATTCCGCCATGTTCTGACAGACTGACACAATGTACTTAAGAATCTAGAAGTTAACAGTATGCTAATCTCCGACTCGGTCAGATTTAGTTTATTGCTGTTTGCATATAAGTTGGCACAGCTGCCATTTCGGGCGATTTTTGATCTCCCGTAGTATATGATTTGTTTCTCGCTCAATTCTCCACCAAATCGCATGAAATTATATGCTAAATTCGTTATTTCAACGGGCGCATGTAACGGTACCATTTATGTGCTCAAGTACCCAAGTTTGAGAATGCGATTTCGCCGCAGCGGTCTTGTGACGCGTGGATTTTATTGGAAGAGCATTGGCATATTTGGGACAACTTGCAAGAGAAAAAGTGTTTATCTATGTCCCAGCTACCCTCCTCCCAAGTTTGGGAAGACATGGCCACAGATTGACGCGTCGGCGACGCGTCGAAGGTCAGCCATCAATTTGGTGACGCGTCACAGCCTTTGCGCTCTTTCCGCAGCTCCCATGGGCCAAAAACGCAAACCCACCGGCTCGGAAGCCCAAGAGACTCAACAACCTGTCAAACGGCGTCGCGGAAGACCTCCCAAGAACCCGACCAAACCCAAAGCACCTGCATCGAAACTCATCTTGAAAATCTCTTCTCGACCTGATAAATCCACGTCTAATTCTGACTCTGAGGTCATAGAGACCACCGATAACTGTTCATCCACTTCAATTGATGACAACGACGATGATCTGGATCTAGTTCAAGCTGCGACACAAGGTCTGCTGGGTCTATCTGGTAGAAAGCCTCAAAACAATGAAGACGACGACGATGTAGAAGATCCTGAGGACCTAGAGGATGAGCAGGAGGAAGAGCAGGAGGAGGAGGAGGATGAAGAGGAGGAGGACAAGAAAATTGGTGCGTAGCCTGCCGAATCCTCTATATGATGATTTGCGGTATCTAACTGATAACACAGACTTTGACCTCGACTTCGTTATTCCAGTTGATGGCGCTACAGACACCATCACCATCTCATCCACCGTAACAGACGATAGACTTTTCGGAAAAATTGCGGAAGAGATGGGTGTCCGCAAGCGAGACATCAAGATCACCTATAAGTTCAGTTGGTCCAAGGAGAAGGAGAGGCCGAAGCTGCTCGGCACTGCTACTCATGTTGCCAAGCTGTTCAAAGATGCCCGGGAAGAGCTTCTCGATCGCCAAAAGCTCGTGCGCAAAAAGCCTGATGCGAAGGCGCTGAAGAAGACGTTCGAAGTCATAATAACTGATCTCACCCCCAAAAATGCGAAAGAGAAGACGGATAAGGCTGTCAAGAAACCGCAATCCAAGGTGAGTGATCGTCTATCTGCTTGTGTATGCTGCAGAATCAAATCCTGCACAGGGAAAGCGACGCAAGGACGACAGTGATAGCGAGGCTGACACGCCGGTCGATAAAAGCAAGATGACTCCCGCCGAGTCCCTTCGTGAGCTAGAGCAAGATCGCCGTTGTGAAAAGCACGACTGTTTTTGTGCTGTCGCGGAGAATGGCGAGCATGTAACACTCACGAACAACAATATGAGTTTATGGTCTCTCATGCTCGTATGTTGTCTATTTCTGTTGGCGACATTATTCTAATTTTTACAGTCGCAAGGGCTCCACACGTCGAAGTCACTCCCACCGGCAACTCTAGGTCTCCCGATGACTACCGGCACGAAATCGGCCGCCCCTTCGCGTCGTGCACCGCAAAATACACTTCCGCCGCCTCCGCCGTACCCTTACTATTACCCCCCCGGCCCACATCCACCGACATATTACCACGCTCCCCCTGCTCCCCCTGCACATCTACCTGAACCCGTGCCCCCTCCACCTGCAAACAATCTCAAGAAAACGATCAGCGTCGAGTCGAATGGCAACGACGACCCAACACTTTTCCCCATCATCCAGGATTGGCTGTTGGAGCTCGATACGTCGGATCGCGGCCAGGACGGCCACCACTTCTCGCAGTATGGTGATACCCTGCGCCAAAATGGCTTTGCGCGTGTTGTACAGCTTGCAGATGAAGGGGAAACGGAAGGTGCAAAGTTGCTGCGGGAGATGTGTCCAGAGATGCCGGTGGGGGTTGCTCGTTTGTTGATTCGGTATGCGGTGAGGGACTGCGAAAAGGTTAGGAAGATAGAGAAGCAGCGCAAAGCGGACTGGGCACGGGTGTAGTGATTTTCCTTTTTGAGCTTTGATCATTCGTTTTCTTGGACAAGTTCGATGCATAGATTCTCAAACAGCTTGTTGTATTAGAAGTAGCCTGAATGTCTAAACCATCCCTCAGCATCTTGAGGAGTAATAGAGTAAACAGCATTGTGTAAATGAGTCAATACTGCAATTCTCTCATCGTCTGCCTGCGTCGCCGCCCGATATTGATGCCCTTCTCTGCGTATGTGCGCCTTCATCTTCGAGAATCCTAGCTCTATGGGGTTGTAGTCGGGAGAGTACGGGGGAAGGTAAACACAATGCATGCCGCTGGGGGTGTTTTAGTAAAGATGGAGGAAACATGAATAAAAGACTTACCGCTCCTCTATCATTTCCTGGATTATTTCGGACTTATGGATGCGACAGTTATCCATGATGATCACTGAATTGGGGCCCGGGAAGGGGTTCATTTTGTCGAGAAGACCTTCAATAAAGGTGGTGAAACTTTCGGCGTTGAAAGAGCCCTCCAGAATATCAACATATAAGATCCCATCAAGCGATAGAGCAGGGAGCACAGAATACCTAAGTCCGTGTCAACTCGTCCCCAAGAATGAATAGAGCACATACCGTTTGCCGCGAACAAAAAAAGCCTTGCGCACTGCTCAATATCCTCGAAATGCCCATGCTTTACCTCGATATGAGGTCCGGCGGTCACAGGCGCTCTCATCGACGAATACAAGCTGATGTGGAAGGTAGTAAAGTCCGATGTGATATCGATACTTCGCGCGCTTGGCAGCGCTGCGCTCAATAGCAACTTTGGTCATCTAGTGGACTCAGCAATGGAAAAGAGAGAATACAATGGTTCTGACCTTCTTCATGGTGTACCCACTTCGCTTCAGAGCCCGCCATATCGTCGATTGTGAGACTATTCTTCCACAGGTCTCTTGCAAACTGAGTTGTAATTCATCAAGATACTTGTCGCAAGAATGATCGAGGGTCCCCTGAAGAAACTGCAGTGGATATGATGTCAATAGGAACCTAATATCAGTAACACCACCTACAGCAACGTCGGAGGAGGTAAGATGCCGAGTACGTCCCGTCTTTTTGCGCTGAGTTGCGGTCAAGACTCTTCCCGTCATCATAAAGCGATTGACAATGCGATAAATTTGGCGCCGGCTGATATCAGTGTATGCTGTGATAGCCTTGATGCTAACTCCAGCCCCATGCATGCGAACGATGGCCCATCTCAGGTCTTGAGAGATGGGTCTACCTTTCGCCATTCGGTCATGGGAGAGCGCAAAGGCTGTGACGCGTCACCAAATTGATGGCTGACCTTCGACGCGTCGCCGACGCGTCAATCTGTGGCCATGTCTTCCCAAACTTGGGAGGAGGGTAGCTGGGACATAGATAAACACTTTTTCTCTTGCAAGTTGTCCCAAATATGCCAATGCTCTTCCAATAAAATCCACGCGTCACAAGACCGCTGCGGCGAAATCGCATTCTCAAACTTGAGTACTTGAGCACATAAATGGTACCGTTACATGCGCCCGTTGAAATAACGAATTTAGCATATAATTTCATGCGATTTGGTGGAGAATTGAGCGAGAAACAAATCATATACTACGGGAGATCAAAAATCGCCCGAAATGGCAGCTGTGCCAACTCATATGCAAACAGCAATAAGGTTGAACTACAGTACAGTTGAACTATGGTTTGCAGTCGGTAATTGATGCAGATCAGTCAAGGTAATATTAAGGTTAACATTTGAACAGTAGAAGTTCCAACCTATTTACTCTGGCAAATGATCAAGTTTGCCCGGAGGGCCCTCACAATTTTTGTGCAAGACAAGTCAATCACTCATGTGACCGTACTAAGTTGAAGTACATGCCGATCATCAGCAAACCTAAATACTGTAGCATTTCGACCGACTGTTCACCCCATGTTACGTGTTACGCAAGGTGTTCATTTTTTGAAGTGTTCATTTCTCGGCAATCACGGCAAAATTACCATAAAAGGGAATCCGGCGCTTGCCGGAAGAGAAATTTTGCCTCTTTTTAGCCTATTTGAGCCTCAAAATGTGAATGTTACCGTTACGAATGTCGCAAGTGTTCAGTTCAGAGGTCCCCGTTACGCGTTACTTGAACACTCGGTCGAAATGCTACAGTAATGTGTGTA